TTATAATAGCCGTCTCAGTGGCCGCACAGTCTGAGGCGTGGGCCATGTGCCACTTGGTCACTGGGTTCGAATCCCACTCAAGGCATGGATGGTCATCCGCGTTTTTCTGTGTTGTGCTGTCCTGTGTACAGGTAGAGGCCTTGCAAATGGGCTGATCCCTCATCCAAGGAGTCCTACCAAATGTCTATAGATCAAAGCCAACGAAAAAGTTGGGACCTGCAGTGCTCAGGCACTTGAAGAACAGGTCGTCAAAGTATCAAAAGTAAGTATCATATTCTAATATATAATACTGGACATGCAATATGTCTTCAAAGATATCTTTTGCTACAGTGCGTAATTTCTTTGAGCCCAATGTGCTTTATAACTGCAAGATTGCTAATTATTCAAATGTGATACCAAGTTTTTACAGCTGTGAAGTACAACTGTTATTGTGAATATAAGGTTACTGAACACTATTATGTAGAAAGAAAGATTATAGGCATATTAAAATTAACCCCATGGATACAGTACATGACATTGTGGACTGGACTAAACATAATATACTTTTAACATTCCTTTTTTTTTAAATTCTACACTTGCTCCCAATATTTGGAGGTAGCACCATATGTTAAAAACTGCCAGGCAGAAATAATTTTCTCTCGAAACAAGTACATCTCACTGCACTGTCAGCATACCAAACAACAATTTGGTATCTTGCACATCACTGAATGAATTAAGTTTTTTCAAACTCATTATGCTGGGGGTTCACATGACAATATTATACCAATCTTCAATAGTGAAAAAAATGTAGGTAAAATCAAGATCACCCTCTTGCACTGCTTGGAGAAACCAGCTGATGAGACGTCATCTTCTTGGTGTTCATGTACCACTTCTGCACTAAAGGGACATTACTGCAGTCACTTTGCTGCTCTGTATGTTGATGAAATTCAGAAGTACACCTACTGAGGAAGAAATTTCATATATAAAGTTGGTAAAGTATGCAAACCTGTCCTAATTTTGTTTAATCTCTGCTCCCAAGAAACCTTAAAACCACTTTATGCTTGAGAGAGAATTTCCAGGCCAAACCTTTTGAAAAATTAATACCCTACGAGCTATAAAGGTACTTACACACCATAATAATTTTACACTTATAATTGACTCAGTGCAATATACCAAATTCGCACAACATTCTTCATGTTCCACACATATAAGAACCTTAACACAATAAGGCACATCATTAGACACATAATGGCTCATCTTGTAAACTGTCAGAGGTTGTGCAATCATGAGCCCAACTGTAACCAGGGGCTATAGTTAAAAAAGTGACATTTGTAACAAATGACATTCACACATTCATCGGTTACTGCACTGCCATCATCAATGTTAAAATATCACTTCACCCACAGGAATAACACAGAAGTAGTATGTAATTTAAAAAAACACTGAATTCATCTGGTGGGGAAAAAATAAAACTTATGTATGTCACTCGCAACATCACACATTCAGATCATCTTGATAACTTGCAAAACTGGGTCCCTAAATTCACTTTCCATTAGGTGCAGATATGAAGGAAGCGTGGTCCATGACCTGAATTCAATTATGTACAACAAATCCATGTGATATGCATGGAAGTAGACTGTCTTCTCTTGCAGAACGTAGGTCTTCATAAAACACATTCAGTAATACGTATGGAGTTGAATAAAACACAACCACTAAAAAAGTTCAATAATGTCAGTCACCACAGATGCAAATAAACTGACCACATAAAATGCTGAAAAGCAATCCTTTAATGATCCCCACCAATCTAAATGTATTTGCATGAAAAAAAAACTGGTTTCATTTCAAACCGCATAAAAGTATGATTTATCTGTAAAAAGAAAAATCCCTTATGCATTCATCATCAATTGAATATCTGGTGTTCCAAGACTAACTTCATACATAACTACACAGTTTGTCTAATCATATACAACATGTAGGAATACAGCAACGAGTAATATATTTCACAAATATCAATAACTGCAGGGTGTTAAAAAAACCACAGCAAACCTAAACATAACATTACAATGCAAGCAACAAGAAAAGGCATGGAATGGAATATAATTTTCAAAGAGAATATGGTTTTTTCTGCATTGTATTATATATGAGAGAAAAGGCTTATGCTACAGTATTCTGTGATACGTGCAGCAACTTACCAGATACTCCAATAAAGAACTGTAAATATTGTTTGAATGGCATATTATCAACAAAAGTAACACTGAACTCCAACAAAATAGTGATGACACGAAACACAGTATTACTTTTCAACTACATACAATTAAATTTACGTTACAAGTAGGAAAAATCACAACACTTCTTGTGTGTGTGTGCGCACGCATGTGTATCAGTAAACTAACATGGAAGGTTTGGAGGCTTGTTATAGTAAATAAATATGTATGATTTATGCAGTTATTTAGATACTGTAACAACTACTAAGTTCTTCACTGCTTATATTTGTAATAAAAATGGTCCTGAATCTGCAATGTTTAATGGTGAAGTTCTGAAATCAATATTAAGTGTTCCCAATCTCTAATTTAACCAAAATATTCGAACTTATTGTCATTACTCAAATCAATAATATATGCCAATTACAAATATAGACGGTACAAACCACAAAAAGGAGAATGTTTTACCACAACATACTCAGACAGGCAAGATTTTGGTGAAGTATCCAATATAAACAACAAACACAAAGAGCAGTAGTGCACATATTCAAAAATCTGATGAATTCTGTATTAACAATTTAAGAATTCACAATTATTAATGCTGATCATCAAATGCCAACAACCACACTGTATGATGTATAAAGTGAAGCAGACTGAAGTTGATGAAAGACTCTCAGGTTACGAGATGCGTCAGGTGGCTAAATGGTGGCGCGGCTCGTAACCCAAGTCTCTTTCATCAACCACACTGTATGATTACATAATAATGTTGTCATCAAAGTTCTGCAGTACTCAAATGCAAACTAACAAAACTTATAATTATTACATGAAAATCATATGTAACCAGCATCATATGCAGGATTTGAACCTGACAGAAAATAAACACACAGAATATAAACCAGCTTGTCACAACTGTCTAATTTATGATGAAAAAACACAATTACATTTTGAGTATCCATATCATGGCAAATAAAGTAAACACTGAGCATTTTCAAAACAGAAATGGATATAACATAACCTCACAATATTAATTCATATTATATTTAATTACACATATCATATTAAATTAGTTGAATAAGAAATTTATGGAGGATTGGTATCACACAACTGTGCCATTTGTCAAATTCAAAGCGTACATTATGAAGTAAAAATACATAACATGCCTCCCCAGGTAATATTCTTCTAGTACATGGACACAGCAACAAATGAAGCTGGCAGTACCAAAAACCTGCCAGCAGCTGTCAACCATACTTTTCCATATTAACTTTAAGTAGTCTACCATAGCTGGCCTAACCTGAAGGTAGTTATACTATTGTCCAGTTGCATGCTACCATTTTCAGGACAACTTTTAGGTGCTGCGAATACCACTTTCATTTCTATACCTCTGTATATAAGAATTTAACCTCCCACCCTGTGGCTTTGTAAAATTAGAAGTGTCCATTACCAAATTAAAATAAACAGTAACCCTTCCCAACACCAAAATTATTAAAAAATCTGAAGTATTCCATTACTATTAGTGTTAGAGAAGTACTTTTTTATTTTGATACTAATATGGATCGGCAACAAGTGCTCTGTCAAAAATGTCAAAATATTGTCTTTATAAATACAAGTATAATGTAAGCAGCAAAAAGAATGAACACTTTATACATACCCAAACTAACAAAAACTATATTCTGAGACAATCAATAAATTAAAAATACAAAATCTGGGCACATAACACTACTAGACCTTACTGATAATTATAACCATGTTGGTATCATAAAGGCAAGAATATTTCAGTTACTCAATAATAAATCAGATTTTATAGTTCCAGGGCCAAATTTTACTTGAATCAGCAAACCAAAAATTGAGAAAACTCTCATCAAATTAAAGATCCTACAGGAGGAAACCAAAACATTAATGTCATTATATAAACTATGTATGAGTCTGAAATTAACTGTCAATACAACTGCCATTTAAAAAACTAAAATGAAGGCCCTGTTAATGTGTCAGAAATAAGAAAAAAAGCCTAACTTTGTTTAAAGAGCCACAAAGCAGGAAATGCAATAATAAAACATTAAATTATGAACATTAATTATAAACCAAAATACTATTTATATAAAATAAGCAGAAATATATACCGTGCTCATCTAACTGAAGCCATCAGACCAGCGTAAATAGTACAAAAATTAAAATGCACTCGAAAACTGAGCATGCTGTACTATTCTATGTGCCAAGAAAATGTTCAAATAACAAATGAATGAATCAGTTATTATGTAGCCTCTCTCTCTCAGAATTTGTTGAATAAAAACTGGATAGGTTATGTTAAGATGCAACAATCTGTTTTAATGTACAGTATGCATAAGGAATCATCTACGAAGCTAACAGCAGTGTATCAACAGTAAAGATGATCTCTTGACAACTGGTTCTAACCATTTGTAATGTTGCCCAATTGCAAAAAAAATCATGAATTTGAAATTATCAATTACATCCTAATGGATAATACTAAAATATTAAAAATAAACACTGATGCTAAGAAAACTAGACAACATGCAAGTGTCAAAGAAGATCATCCTGCCTGGTTGCTAACAGAGTTAGCAATGTTTGTTTCTGTTATGTTACTTCAATATTGTTTCCAGTCCCTTAAAATTCCAACCAATATACACCAACCTTAAGCAAACCTTCCCTTTCTAACAAACAGCAACTTATTGTCAGTTTTCTATATAAATTATGTTACAAAAACTAAAGTCAACCCAATTTTAAAGAACCGGCAACAATATCAAATAACAGCCCAATGGATTTTAGGAGTACAGGGAATGGTGTTGGGGAATAAATCAGATTTACTTCTCTTCTGTGGGTTCCATTGTTGTTGGAGTTGGAGTAGTTGTTGCTGTTTGCCCCCTCCACCATTGTTCCCCAGAGTTGGAGCCAAGTCGAAGTGCATCATTAAAGGCGCCATCGGCACTGTGGAGTGGATGGTAGGTCACAGAATATTATGAGAAAACAGCAAAAAGAAACAAAATGTACTATCCACTGTCTGGCTGATCTGACATATTCTTAAATTAACCTCCCTTAAAATCATTAACAAACAACCTCAAGTAATTGGGAGGTTTAATCACCTGTTGATTAAATGGGATGAATCACAGATGTTTTGGTCAGGTGGGCAATAAAGATGCAAGTCTTTCGAACAATCTTTAACTCAAAATACAGACTACTGAGAAGGCGGTGTAGCACAAACCACCAATTGAAGTTCAAAAGCACTGTAATAAGGGCCAGTTAAAGCAATTCATGCAAGGTTCATGCTAAAGTGCAACAGCCACTCTAACTTTGCTTTTATAAAACACGAAATGGTAAATAAACACACTTTTAACAGCAAGGTTAAGAGTGGCCATGCTTACAATACCCTCATGCTATTACAAAGTTATTCATGGAGTGAATCTATGTGTGAAAACATGCCAAAAGAAACACACACTGTTAAGCAACCATATCAATCACTACAAGTAACCATTGAAACAAAAATTAACTAATTCTAATCAACATGCTAGTCCAATTATCTTACAACCTTCTTAATATAAATTTGACACAAACTCCTTTTCTACTGGACTTTTGTAATGACTTTTAGCATTACAAGATGAAACACTTTATTTACAAAACAACTTGCTAGTCGTTTTAAATGCACTTGGCCATAATGTCAAATATTACAAGGAACGCCTTCCTTTGTACCTATATCGGCTGATAAATTCGTGCAAGGTATATTTTTTACGCACAGTGCTCTAAGTAAAATGCTAAACTAACATACCTGAGGAATCCGAGGTTCCTTGGAATGGATCAGTCATTTTCTGCCGCTTGCTTGGCGGCCCATCGACGAGATGATCGGCCATATCTCCCTGTTTACCAAGCCGTGCCTACTAGCCTACTCAGTATCGTATTTAACAGAATTCGAAACGGCCACACATGGCTCATTAAAAACTTGACCACATAATGGATCCTTGATTATTACTGTGCCAATAGTTCGATGTTTAATCCATCCTTCAAGGCACATATTAATTATCCACAGTCAACGACGGGGCTTAATGAAGCCACAAACTGGCGGATGAGCCTACACAGTACCTCTCTCCATCTTCCGACGGAACTCACACAATGATCCAAAAGTAAATCACCCACAATTTTTCATTTTAAGACGTTTCTTCAACACACTTTGACCAAGCGGGATTACACAAAACACATGAAGTCACTAATAAGACGAAAAAGTGCCCATTAGCTGAAATAAAATAACGGTAATTTCAAGAATAAATTCCAAATTTCCCCACAGTCTCTGTTAGTCAAAATGGCGGCTGTTGATGAAAAGTTTTTCTACGCTTGTCAGAAAATTTCCGACTATTAATGAGCATTCGAAGCTTCTATTGGATAAGGAGTATCACGTGATAGCATAAATGTCTGTTATTGGTTAAACCGATTCACGACGACTATTCGTGACGTCATATCTATAACCGAAGATAGCCGAAGTATAATTGCTCTTTGCGGAGGGGTAGTGAGAATATCGGGAATGTAATGCATACATAACACAAAGCATCCCGAGTGTGAAGCAGAACATTTAACACAAAGTGAAGGAAACCTGCGAGTATCTTGAACGTTTTTAGTTTAGTCCGTAATTATGACGGTATGCGTGACTTTCTGACACGCGTTCTTCTCTCAATGCTGCATAAAGTACTTGGAAGACAAAATGAAGATATATCATAGACATCTCAAACAGTGATACAGGTCACACTTGTCACCAGAAGTCAACATACACATACATACCTAACACACCCTATTCGTAGTTCGTTTCCGATTGTGTTATCTCAAATGTATCGTGATTGTGGTCGATTTTGTGCTCATGTGAAAAGTGGAATCGAATTAAACCATTAGTCTTTCTTGTATAAGTATACCCATTCATGAGTGTCATAACCGACACTCGCTACTCAAATATGATGGTATAAACACATGCAAGACATCGGAGAGAGTTGGGTAGCTTATGGGGAAAACAGGTGCACTATATACCAAGTTGCTGTCTTGAACTATCAGAATCAAAACATAGCATTGTGTAATGTGACGTATAGATTGTTTATGTTATTCCCGTAAACGACTGACAACACTGTCGCATCGTGCACTGATATCACGTGGTTCCACCAGTCTGGTTGCGCGCGAAGTGTGAGCAAGGTCAGGGACGATAGTCGGCGTTCCAGGCAGACGTGAAACGATATCTCTGGTAGCGTTGATCTGCTTCCGTTCGCACGCACAACCCAACAGCTATCGGGGTTGTATCAATGTAAACAAAATGGTGGCAATGATTTAAAGGAGCGCAGTGATCGATGCACTTCCGCTCCGCGTTATATAATCGTAGGTTATCTATAATCACGGAAGAGTAGCAGAGAATGTAACATCGGAAGACATGCAGATATTGAATGACCTTGAGGACCCCCCCCCCCCAACAATTTTAAATTACTTCTTCGCTTAATTCTTAAGCATTTTTTAAACGTTAATGAAGCGAATTACGATGGTTAATTAGTCAATGTCAGTATTGACACTGCCTCTTTATAAATAACTCGCGCACTCGTGAGACAAACATGATCAGTCATTAAATGTCTTTTCATGAAAAATTGTTTCCTACTGTATTGGTAATATAATCGCCTAAAGACACCAGTATAGAATTTGCAGTTGTTTTACCTATTAATACAGTTACATTTTTGTGATTTCCAATAATTATGTCATGGCATTTTATCTTGGTCCCTGGCCTTTAAACTGCACCTTTATAATAGTCCTTAAGATTCATCCAAAAAGAATGGTCATTTATGGATGTAAAGGAGCTAAAAATATTTTAATTATCCATCTGCTTTAAACTGCTGTCAATTCAAACCAATCCACATCCTCAAAACCTATTTTTCAAATATCCATTGTACTGTTATCCTCTTACACCCATCTCTAACAAAAACTGGCCAGGCCAGTGATAATCGTGTCCAAAGTTTCCATCAGTCTTCGAGTCAATGCTAGGGCAGAAGCTCGAAATAGAAACATCATTAAATAAAAGTGAAGCAAGAACAACCTTGTATTTCAAGCAGTCGCAAACAACCACATGACAATCAAAACTTGTCAATGTTTTCCCCATCATATTCCCTGCAGTTACTTTTGTACAAAACACTGTGGGGTTACTTCACCTTCCAAATATTTGTTGTGGTATAAGGATAAAAGTTAAACTTTTAACACAGATTCAAACAATCACTATACTATTGTTTTACTGTTTGCAAAAAAAATCCAACACCAAATAAAATGGTTATATAATGATAATATATAATTATAATCAGAATAAGTGCCATGATAAGTAAACAGGCTACTTGTTAATGTGATAATATGAATCACAACTCCCACACATAAATGTCTTCAAAACTTAAGCTTGTTATTTTCACATATACATATTAAAAGAAGTTGACCTCATGCACATACACAAAAACTCTATATCTTCATTGGTCCAGATATGTGATACAACTTCACATAAAAATACACTCTTAAATTGGAGTGTAAATTCAGTCTTAAACACTGAATGCAGCTGCAAACATGCTGTCACAATTATATCCAACTTTACAATCACCAGTCTTACTCAGTTGTCCACCAAACACACAAAATAATCAATTGTAACATTAAAATATTCAACAGATAAGTACATACACTGCTATTAAACAGAATCCTACAAATTAAAATGTAAGCAGTTACAATTTCCAGGTTTAAAAAATGTATGTTACTGAATAGAAGTAGCATACTAACATGCTTGACGTGTAAGATACAAAGCAAAGATATCAAAGTGCTAAGTATATGCAGGTAAAGGAATCCAGTTCGGTATGACCTACATCTCTATAATTAAGAGGTGCTGTCTTCAGAGCATGTTGTGTTGCTACATATAACACCCAGAAAAGTCCTACAGTTAATCTTTATCATACCAAAATTTGGGAATTGAAACCCCTACACTATGGGGCTCAAAGCCAGACTTAAACTCCAGGGATGATTGTTTAGTGGTATGCTTGTACAATGCAGGCCAGCTGGATTGTGCGTATGCTGTGGACACATGGCTGATAAAGGTTGATGGTACAAGAACGAGAAACTTAACTGGCGACTTCTTACATTCTTAACACTTCAATTTATATACACACCATTAGCACTTACTACACGAATCAGTTCTCATATCACAACATACAAAAATGTTACTGTAGTACTTATATATATATATATAAAGCAATGTTAGGGGCCAAATACCTTACAGATGGCAGTAAAACTTAACACAAACAGTGGCACTATATGGAGACAAGTGAGGAGCTCTTATACCCATTGAAAGAATGTTGTACATACTACAGAGAATGTTGAATATGGCTGTCATCTGGGTTGTTGTGTCGTGTAGTCTGGTAGAAGTTTACCGACATTTCAGAGGTCCTTGCTGCCTCCACGATCAAGTACTCATCGCCCTGATGATAGAGGCAGCAAAGACCTCTGAAATGTCGGTAAACTTCTTCCAGACTACACAGCGCAATAACCCAGAAGACAGCCATCTTCAGACATACCACCGTGAAAACCTCAAATCTTACACAGTGCTGAATGTTATGAAGAGAACTTCCAATTCACTGCCCACTTTAGTAACTGAGGTGTCAAGGCTCAGTGCATTCAGGAAGTGTTTGTTATACAATGTGCACTTTATCACACAATCAAGACTTACACCTCCACTGTTAAAGAATGAGGTAAAATTTCATAGAGGTAAACTTCACACATTTTAGACCTCAGCAGTAGATTGAGCGTAAGCAATCAGCATCATATTCTGATATTCTGGCCACATTTTTATCAACAAAACCACTCAGTATCCACTGGATTAGAGAAATGGTAAGGTCCAAACCATGTCTAAAAATTTCTTTACCTGGAATCCAACCCTGACCTTCCAGTTCCATATATACAGTCACTTTACTGACAGAACTAACCTGGCCCATTAAAATACCAAAAGTGGTACATAATTTATGAACAAAGAGACGTGATTTACAGGGATACTCATTCAATTGTGTGAGAACAGAATACCTATTGAGACTTTCAGGTTGAATGCTAAACTGAAAATTGGGTTTCAAAGTAAAGGCCAGAATATGCAGATTATACACACTTCTTCAACATCCACAGTGAAGACATGACGAGCGTCAAGAAAATACTAAAAAATAGGTCATATAGTCTGATACTGAACTGGATACTTCCCTTCTTATTTGTGAAAATTGGATTAAAATGTTAAATAAGGAAACCATATTTGCATGGACAAAGGGTAATTTTGATTGATTAACATACACTTTTCATACACAGTTTCTCCTGTACTTTCATTTCAGTTCAGATGGCCTTATACCAATTTGCATCATTACTAACAATTCCTGGCCCAAATGGAATGTAAAAGTTGAAGTCATTCAATGTTTAATCTATCATCAGAGAGACAAACAATAAACTCAAATTTTTTGACAAACCGTTATATAATATGGTATAGAGGTAAACCAGCCATTTATGAATGCATCTGTATGTTTGTCACTTTGTTCTCACATCTTTATGCCAACTTTACAAACTTCTTTCTGAGAAGTACGACAACAGAATCAAATATTATTCCTTATATACTGATCAGCAGTCACTATATGGAGACAGCTACTAATTACAAATCTCAGTGTATTAAAGTGACCTGTTTTATTAGAAGATATTTAGAAGTCAGAGATCTTCATGCATCTTAACAAACAAAAAAATGTGTTTTACTGAAGGTGAAGTGCTGTGGTCTCCTTAAAGCTCCTCCAAGAACATCAGCCACAGCCACAGCCACATTCAGTACACCTAATATTAGGGATGTGTTACTTTTAACAGACTACAAACAAATGACACAAACATGTGTCCTAAAACATACTGGGTTCTAATAAATAAAAAAAAAATGTTTTAACAATGGATAACAACTGTTGGATCAACTGAGCTCTTGCAGATACCACACAGTGTACCATGCAGATGGAATGTAAAGGCAAAAATACTGAAGTTAAAGTGCCAGGGAAGAAGACTGAAAAATGATTGGTGGCAGACTGAATTACTTGCAGACAGTGATTCTTTTACAGATGTAATAACTGCGATAATAATGAGAGTGAATCACAAGCTAATAGTATTAGAGAGAATGCTTTAGTTAGTAGCAAATGATCTCCTGTTTATAAACCATCTAGTTACATTTTAGTAACATTAATAACAAACTGGTGATTGTGTAAGCTTAAATAGTTAAAAATTGTCCCTAAATATTTTTACACCCATCTTTAAATCATTCAGGTATGTGGAATTTGTTTAAGACTATTTTTTTTCAGTAAAGAGATTTTCATCTTAAAGTGTTAGAAGATACATGAAGATTATTAGCATACATTCATAGACAGAATTTAAATATACACCTCTTACCCTTCAGATTCAAGAATTTCAATGGCAGTTTTATGCTTCCTGCCATGTACATGGACAGCTATAAGAATTTTCCATAGCCAGAAAAATTATTTGTAACTCATTATTGTAATTATTTGGTTAAAGGTGGCAAGTACACTGCAGTACAGCTGTTGTGAAAGAATGTCATCTCTTTTAGCTCAATGAACATATACCACCTATGGTCTGGTAGTTTTGGTTCATAGCAGATTTTTGTATGTGATTTACATCAGCACCATTAACATCTACTGTTCGTCATTACAAAATAATCAATTTTTAATAATTTTTCTTGTTTTACTTCATTGCAATTCTGTATATGAAGAAAATTAAGAGGGACAGTAAAGAAGAAAGTCTTACAAAGCCATAGAAAAGGTGAGGAAATAAAATGTATGTGTACAGTACAACTGAAGTTTACCGGGTATAAGAAATACTCGAGATAATTTTCTCTTACATCCACACAAAGCAGTCCTTTTACTGCTGTAATATCTTTACCAGACATGCAATATTTTAACGCATTTTCCTGAGACATTTAAAGAGTACCATAAATTTAGGTTGGAGTTTTCAGATATAGTAATACTCTATAAAACAATCCTGTATGTGAAAAGACTCACTAGATCTAAGTTTCTCAGAGTCTACAGAAGAAAGCTCTGGGATTTTAAGAGCTCAATGAACCAATTCCAAGCATATACTACAAAATCTGTAAAGTCATACAGCTGACATAAAGCAGAAAAATCAAGTAATTTACTGATCCAGAAAACCAGCTACCCAGACTGAAAGGATAATATGATCTTAATTTTTCACCACAACAGACTGATTCATCTCAATACTATGTACAGTTCACAATATCCTCAAACAATAAGGCATTTCCATGCAAATCATGATTATGTTAGAAGGCTTTATTTAACAAATCTAGGTATTTTGCCAAAAGTATCACAGTATACTGATAGCGTCATATAATATATATCTGGGGTTCTGAGTTACTCAAGACATTTTATATGGATCAACTTCACGCCTGAAATATACAAAATGGTGAAAATATGAATGATAAACAGAATGCTGTATCAGCCATGTCCTAATCTGAATTCGAACTTGGAACACAATAACTATGTAGGCTTTCGTGACAGATTTTTACACCTTTGTTTTTGGAAGGTGTTATTTCATTGTATATTGATATTTCTGTGCAGTGTAAACAGAACAAAATTTGTATAAGAAACCTATTGCTCTCTCTCCCTACACCATTTCCCCCATGAAAGAAAAGTCACTCAAGTTATGCAACAACCATGTCAACAAATGTGTACTTTCAACAAATATCTTACAACTTAAACATTTTAAGCTTAATTTTACTGAAAATTTCAGAGTTCAGTATGTTTTCTGTCCATATCACTTGTATCATACAAATTCTTAAATGCAGTATACATATGATTCATACACAACAATATCTTGAAACAACAGATGTAACCAGATTAACATTTTAACTCAATTTCAAAACACATTATATGGAGGATAAATGAAACTACAATAAGTGAAGCTGGAACATAATTTCTACAAATCAGACTATTCTACCAAAAAGATCTAGAGGTCCTCCCCCCTTGCAAAAATATTAAAAACTGATTGTAATGTACTGAACATTTTCCTTAGATTTTTCTCCTCTGCTACAATGATAATACATGTATTTCATTTAGAAAGTAGGAGATATATTTAATATTTTGAACAAAATGTTATGGGCTGCAAACCTGTACAAAACCATATTGTTGTCATTATTATTGTATGTATGCTTAAAAAATTACAACTAGCCCTTGCCTTTTAAACCTGATAGCAGATTTCAGTAGTTGTCAGCATAAAGTGAAGAGTCCCACAGACAATAAAAATAGTGACATCACAATACCACACACAGAATTGGTTTTATACCAATATAAGAGACAATTAAGGGCCCATGACTTATAGCTTTAGATGATCTGGCAAAACAAATAACTGCTGCCAAATCAACAAGGTATAGTGAAGCCCCTCCCTTTCTGCTCGGTGACTGGTCTTGTGGCCTACAAATTTCACTCATTTTTGGACTTTTCTGCAGATTCCTG